ATATAGTCAATTTTTCTATGATGAAATAGGGCATCCTAGAAATGCTAGGAGTTCGTTTTTTTTGAAAAAACTAAAGATACTGATATGTGAGAAATCTTGTGGGAGATTTTTTCTCCGTTGAGGTGAATATAGTCCTTAATTTCTATGAAGTAATCAACGATATCTTGTTTATAGACATCAGAGAAGCTGGCTGTTTCAACGAGTTTTCGGATCTTTTGATCAAAACATTGTCGTTGGATGGTGTCCATTTTTGTAAGGAGTTATTGAAGTTTTTGTGTACGTATGTCGTGTTGGATACTTGATTTAGAATTTATGCCTATGGATTTCAAATCTATTTTAAGGTTATCAGCTCTTGTGGGAATGCTTCCATGTAAAAATGTTCTTTTAGGTGGCGTTAAGGTGGGTTGGGGTGTAAGAAGATAATACTTATCTTAGTTTGGGTTAAGTTGTACTACGTTGTGGCTTTTTTCTGATCCACATGGGACAGATCCAAAAACATTGTTCGTGATGATTTGTATCTTTAAAATACACTTTTTTATAAAATAAACGTCTTCTTTGGAAGCATCTTTAGTCTTCAAATACATACAGTGATGAGACTTTTTTAGTGCAAGGATAATTTGAAAGGATATTTCTTTCATAGTCAAAAAAATTGAGCGATTACTTGATAGTAGGTATCCTGCATAATGTATTTATAATATGGCTAAAATTATATATTGTTAAATCCGTGGTTCGTTCTAGTTTACATAAATGATGTAGTGTTTCAACTTCAGATAAGGAAATTTTTCGAAAAGTTCTTCGGATGGAGTAGTCAAGCTTCTTATCAAGTTGAATGTCATGATAGATTGTGCCGAAGTATGTGTTAGACCTCAGTGATAATCTTTTTAGTCATTTACCGTCACGATTTTCTGGTAGGAGTTTACCTTCTGTGTTTTCATAATTTTATTTGGACGGGTATGTTGGATTCATCATCCTCATTGTTTTTTATTTGGATGGGATGGAATCCTTTTTCAGACTAGTTTTTTCGAGTTTTGTGTGCCAAAAAGTGGTTCCAAATATTTACATGTTTATTCTGTTTCAGATTATGTTCGAAAACATGCTGGTATGTTTTGTATTCTTTGTATGTTTCTAAATGAATTTTTATCTGATATTTTTCGATCAGGGTCCTTGATCAAATAGTATAGATATCATAAACTAATTTTGTGAAAATTTATCTTTCTTGCATAAATTTTAGCATCTTTAAATGTGGTAAAAGAGTCTTCAGGAATTCAAACAATGGTTGCCTGGGTACGAGTGGTGAGGTTGCAAAATCCTTGGTCATTTGTTGAAAAAAATAAGCGGATTTCTCGATAAAAAATTGTGTCATCTTTTAAATTGTGTTTCAATTGAACATTTTCAAGTTGGATTTTCCATTCAATAAACATTTTTTCTTGATATTCTGAGTTTTTGTATTTACTTTGCAATACGATGGGTCGTTTATTCCAAATGAGATATCCAAACTTTATCGTGAATGTCGTAATTTGAGCGTCCGTGTGCATCGTGATAACGATACCTTCCATCTAGTTGGTGTTGTTCATATTCTGCTTGACGTGCTGAATCTGGAATGTGAAAATATAATAATTTTTGAAAATTGTTTTTTCGTTTTTATCAATTTTGAACGTTTGATTTCATTTTGCAGTCTTCAGAGTTAAGAAGTTTTAGTCCTTCAATTTTCGGCTGGTAAAAAGATTCAAGATTGAGTCTATTTTTTTTGTTTCAATTGGAGCTTTGAGAGCAATGTAGATTCTTTCCAGAAAAATTTGCTGTGAATTTACAATCTGAGAGAATGTTAGCTTAGCTTTTTGAACAAAGTGTTGCAAATACATTAGCTGACTCGACTGTTTGTAGTTCTGATTCACTTTGTGTGACTTGGGTCATTGCATATTTGTGTAGAGTTTTTTTGTTGTTGATCTTCGCAATCATTATGATTTACGAGGACGTCATGTGGTCCTGTTCAGGGAGAGGGCTTGTTATGAATTGTTGGTTCAGGATGTACTAGGAGGTGAGCGGAGTTTCTTGATAAACGCGTTAAGAGATATCTGTTCACGAAAATCCTGAAAATGGGTTGTGGAATGTTATGTAGCCTATTGTCTTTTTAGTGTATCTATCGTATTAGTAGACTAATTCTGTGCATATAAACGGAGGAGGAAAAGACTGAACTGTGATTTTTTATCTGGTTGAGACAAGGGTAACGGGTGAATTACCAGGTTGTTGTTTCTATCCTTATTTCAAATTCGTTTACTAAGATTTGTATTTGAATTTTGTGCTCCTGAATATCTTTGTATATATGAACTCTGTATTGTAACCTACTTATCGCTCAATTGTAAAAGCAATTACTGTCTGGATAGTTTCCAAATAGAGTAGGTGGTGCTATAAATGGATTCCAATCTAATCGTGGGGCTTACTTGTACTTTTTTTTTGTTCCTGATATCTGTCGCTTAAATGATTGTTTGTTGGAAAAGTTCTTAATGCTGTTATACTTTTTATTGAAGGTGTTGATGGAAGGGACAGTGTTTCTGGCAATGATAAAGTTTTACCTGGGGAAATATCTATTGGTTCGCTAACATGGTTTGGCTCGCATTGAGTAAATATGTAGTTTATCCAATGTGGGAGCCTACGTGAAGAGGTGGGGGGTTGAATGGGTTTTCTCTAATTTGTTCAGAAGTGGGTTTTGAACCTAAGTGATCTGATAAATAAATTGGTGTATGTTGTTGCGATGTCAAACTCACAGATGGATGTTTGCTTTGTATTTGTTGCTTGAAAAATCTAGGGGAGTTGATGTTGGGGATGGGGGTTTGTTGAATTGGACTTGTGGTGTTGCTAGAGTCCTATTTTGTCGTGGTTGAATTATTCGTCGGTCCATTGTGGTAGTTGAGTTTTGATTTTCAATTTGGTTTCCTGTTCTTTTTGTTAGTTGAAGTTCAGAAAGAACAAAATGGTTCGGGCTATGTTTGGTGACCGAGAATTTTTAATTGAATAATAGAAGAAAGTTTTGCTGAGAATTAGATTTTTTAGAATCCCCCGGCTTCATGATAAATATTGAACAAAAACACGACTGGCACTGAGCTCGTTGTTATTTATGAAGTTGAAGACATTCAAAACAGTTCAAGAAATGATATAGATGACAGGCGTCAATTTCTAAATAGCAAAACTTTTAAGTAAACTTTACCACCTACGGAAACAATTTTCTTGAAAAATCTATAAAGAGCAGCTTAAATTGCAACTGAAAGTTTTTTTCATATGATTTTTCGCGCCCACGTGATCTTTTTTGCTGCATATTTTGAAGATTGTAACAGAATGTTTGTGTTGAAGATCGTAGTTTAAATTTGATCGATTCTTAACAAGTAATTTCTTACTCAATTTTTGACACGATTTTTTAGTCTATGATATATTCTACCTGTCTTTTTTGAATACATTTCATATTCATTCTAAAATGTTTTGACACCCAAGACTCACCTTTTATTTTTTTAACTGTGATAATTTTTGTGGAATTTTGACGAGTTTATACAAAAAAATAAAAATAAAGTTTGTTCATATTGTACCAACACTTAAAATTGTTTTTTTAAAAAAATCATTTCATTTTTACTTAAGTTTATGTCGAAGAAAATTTTACGCTATACTTGAAGTTATGCCGTGAAAAAAAGTTGCAAGTTTAATTTATGTTTCAACTATAACTTCTCTCCCCAAAGTAAAAAATTTTCAGGAATGTTTTTGAAGAGAACGATGAATTGTTTTCGCTGAGTATGGTTTTTTGTTTTTCTGACAATTTTTGTTTTTTAAAATAGCAATTTTTCAACCGAGTTTTTTTATATGCATAAATTAATGGCGGTTTGAAAATTGCAAATTTAGGTTAACTTGGACACTTAACACGCAATATTTTTCGTGCTAACACTCTTGTGCGTAAATGGCTTTTATGCAGCTCAGTGAATATGTCAAAATGAAATAAAACACGCTATGTGTATTTTTTATGTTTTTTTTTCATAGACGTTGAGAGCCAGTAAAAACATTCCAAAAACTACTATTTTAACCAATGAATATTCTTGAAAATAAATTAGTGTTATAGAATTAAACGTAGGTTGTTTCAGAGCTTGCCGACAGTAAGTAATTGTTACAAGCATTTTTTTGTTTTCTACCTCATGGTTAATTCATTGATTGAGCTTTGTCTTTCTGATGAAATTCTGCTTATTCAGAAAGGATGGGATTCAGCACTGACTTACTTGGTTTCGTTAGTAGTTTGAAGATATAAATTGTTCAGTAGCATGCCGAGGGCGCGAGGGGGGGGGGGGGGGGGGGGTGACCGCCTTTTCTCTTCAATTCTGGTTGTTAAATTTTTCCAACGGTTCTCACTTCGATAAGATTTCAAAACATCCATTTATGGCTGAACTACCTCAAAAAATTCTGAATTCTGAAGGCGCCAATATAACTAAACTTGGGCTGGGAGCGCTCGCCGAAAAACGCAAGTTTTTGGTCAATTTTTGTAAAGTGCTCAAAAAGTCATTTTTTGCTCTTTTTTGCAAAAATTTGCTTGCGGTGCAAACAATTTTTTTTAAGCGAAATAAGGTCCTTATAGTTTATTGGTTAGCTCTTGAAATCAAATTGGGTGACCTAAAAAAAGACCAAAACTTTTGCTGACGTCACTGAAAATGTTAGTCAGATTTCAAATGAAACGCTCATTTGGTACTTTCATAAATCACTAAATATAAAAATTGAAACATAATCATTTGTTTGGGGAAGGAAATATTGTTGAAAAAAAGATATAGAAGAAAAAGTTTTTATTTAAAATTTTAACATTTTCATGACGATATGAAATAATGATATAAAGACAAAATCAAGTGATATCATAGATTTACATTTTCCTAATTATAGCGCCATCACAGGAAGATTTTTCCATAAAAAAGCGATGATGAACTTTAGATTTGATGAATTTAAAGCATTAAAAAAATGGTTAGTCAACAACACACTTATTAGATACTGTTATAAACTTTGAACGCAGCCCATACAAGGAACACTTGGATTCCGATGACAATCAGCATTCCTATAAGACTTAAAATCAGAAGGGTAATCAGCAGACCTTTCACATCATCACGTGCTCCTTTCTCGTTTACATGCGGTGATGCTTTATTGTAGCATTTTTCGGCGAAGTCGTATGGTACTTTGGAGACATTAACGGCGTTTTTGTTAATGTCGGTCACGGTAATAAACTGTTCGATGTCCTTGCAGCAGGTCAACGGGAAGAATTGCGTGATATTAGATTGCGTGGTATTAGCTGAAACGGATAAAGTAATGTATCTCGATTTAAGTTTCGACTTTGAAAAAGAATAAGATGGAATTTTGTGACTGAAAACCCGTTGACCGCAAAAAATAAAAAGAATCATTCGTGAAAAAACTGCAATTTATCATTCGATGTTATCTCGGACCATGTCAAACTGACGATACTATTTTATCTGATGCCGAATGTTAAAATGACTCGTAGACAAATTAGGATATTTATTAAACCGCGGTCGAGGAGCAATTTTCAGCGGACAGTTTTTCTTCGGTCGAACCGTCGAATTATAAAATACTTTGATCGCGAAAGTTCTTGATGTTAAGTTTTTTTTTCAAAAAGGGCATTCATTTTGAAGGACATTTTATGATAAAATTTCAGAATGAACTTTTTTTTAAAAAATAAACGTTTAGGGTGCTTCATATTTTCACTTTTTCCAATATTTAACTTACTTTTTCCTCCCTTCAACTTCAATATCTGTGTGCCATTTTCGTAGAAGGTGGATTTCTTCCAGTCAGTGTAGTTTGAAATGCCGCATACATTGAATTTAAGCTGAAATATTTCGTGAATTTTTATCCTGCTGATGTCAAAAAGAACCGAGTTTTTTTTAACAACTGTCTCATCAACAACAGAGAGATTTTGGCATCGGCAAAAATTGTTCGTAAAAACAAAAAAGCATTTTTCCATTATTATTGTTAAGTTATTTGTCAACTAACCGTTTCTCTATCATTTTGCATTGGCTAGTGCATCAAATATCGAGAAATCCCAAAGGAATTTTTTTGTTTTTATTCAAATATAATTTTTTTAAACTATGGTTTGAAACCAATGCTTCCACACAGAGGTACAAATTAGTTACTCTTACAGAAAATTTAGAACTCCTAGAACTTCATTAAAGAAATTTTAAAAAAAGTAAAATTAGCAAAAAAGTGAGCCACCTTTTGTGTCAAGAATTGATAAAAAAAAGGATGAGCTTGAGCAGTTTTACAAAAATTATTGGCTTTTTTTATAATAAGAGTTCTAGAATTACGTTTTCTGCAGCATACATTAAGAATGCTGTAGTCTTGTCTAACAGCAATAGTGTACCAATGGTTTCAAACAAAAGTTGCTGTTCCTATCACTTCACGAAAAGTGGGTAGGGAGCAATGACGTAGGGCACTTTCTTCCTCATGACAGGACTTGGACTTCCTCAAAGAAAGATCATAGGAGGTTAAATTTAGTTTCTAACAAAGTCTTATTAGCCATGATTTGTTTTCTTTGGAAAAATAAGAACACTTGCTCAGTGTTCATATGGTCTGAGTTTTTTCCTTTTTCAGGCTAAATCATACGAAACTTATGAAAGACACTCTATTAGGAACAGAACTGATATTGGTTCAATAATTTCATTATTTTTTGTTAAAGATAATATGATTACTTATTCTTTGTTTTTAACCTAAGTCTCTAAAATAAATAATTTTGACAAAAAAATCAAAAGCTATCAAAAGCTATCAAAATTTACTCGAAAGAAAAATTGTAAATTGTAAAGCAACATGTAAAAATAATTAGACACAGAGACACAAAGACAACTACGAGGGAAAATAACCAAGGATTTGCTGTCGGTTGTTTTTTTTCTCCACAAAAACATCGAAATTTGAAATTTTAAGAAGCACTGTTCAAAAATTTTGTCTACCAACAAAAACAGTCATCTCCACAGCTCAAAATTAAAAAGATTTTGCAGCTGCGATTTTTTTCTAAGTTATGAGCGCTTGAAAATATCTGATTGATCAAATTGGATCGATTAATGATTGACGCTTACCCTATCTATAACGCTTACCCGGCAATATCAACCGGTTCACATCAATCAACATTAAATTGGAGCAATATTTCATCTAAAATAGTAGGGACTATATGCGAAATGTATCACTTTGTACTTAAATTATTGTGGATAGGGATGTTTTTAACATGTCGTATATTAAAATAATAATTTCTTTATTCATGTTCAAATAATAAAACTAAAGAAAAAACTGAGACTGCACTTTTTAAATAGTAATCGGATTACTCATTATTCTACCCTGATACGAGCAAATCTCTTTCCAGTTTTCTTGCACTTTTGCAGATCAAATTCGTCAATTTGAAGCATAAGTGGTGAAATCAATCATTCCAAATTCAGTTGAAGTGAACAATTTGATGAAATTATTACGCCACTAGACAAAAAACTTTGTCACATTGCACTTCGCAAGCAAAAGGTTGTGAAAAAGAATAGATAAAAAAGCTTTTTCTATTTTATTTGTCAATACTTTCACCAAATTTTGCCAATGTTTTTTCGAGCGCAGCCAAATCTATCGAATTCCTTTACTGAAACTAGCATTCTTCTTCATTTACGAATCTAACATTTAAATGCAGTCAACGAAAAATCTATTAATTTTTATAATATTCATAACCATAATTTTTTGGATTTACAGTTTCAAAATACAATTAGAGGAGGTTTATAGATCCAAAAATTTCAAGTTCAGGCACAATGAACAACATTCTAAAGGTAAAAAAGGTTTAAAAAGCTAAAAATTTTCATGCAGCGCACAAAGTATTAACCTCAAATCTAGTTTCAGTTCTTTCAATAAAAATTTGAACTGTGAGTGAGAAGAGATGATTATAGCTTATCTAATCAGATGACTCGATATAATTGGAAGGAAAGTTATCCACTCCAAAATCTCAAGATTTGTCTGAGAAGCAAAAACTTTGATACATTTTTTTTCTTAAAAAGCTTTGAAATTCAATGCAAAATTGAAAGTTTCAATATGGCAAAACTCGTTTTTAGGCACTTTTGGAAAATATTGAACAAACAATTGCTTTTCTGGCGCGCGTTCCGCTTTAAAGTTAGTATATATTGGCACCCTTTTAAGTTAGTATATATTTAGTGTCGTTCAGCCAAAATTGGATATCCTAAAGAAGCACCGAAAGGATGACCCTTTGGGTCGACAGTGGGTTGAATTCCTGAGGGTAGGGAAAGGGAAAAAGTGCCCCCCCTAAAGCAGTCCCTTAATCAGTTATTTTGTCCTTCATTGAAACCATGTTGCAGAAGAAACTCTGATCTGGCTGAAGTAGGATGTGTGAATTTCCCCGAGTATCAAAATATGCTTTTCGTTCATCTTGAGCAAAAGAGAGTCATTCGGTAAAAACTTTAACACGTACCGAGAAGTTTTTTTTTAATTCTGACCTGGAATACTTTTTATCTAATATAATTTGCTGGCCAGAAATTCTTTGTGAAATGTTTAAATAAAGCAGAGATTTTCATAAAAAATTTTTTTTTTCTGATCAGAAATTAGCAAAATCTAGGCTATTTCTAGCTAGAAAAAATCTCTCGTTGTAGGACTCGAGCTCCCGACCTGCCATTACGCAGGTGGTTGTGCTCACCGGTGGTCCACTGTTATATCCACTGTTAATTTGCATTGTTTTGGTATGGCTATTGTGTATACTCGAAGCATGTTTATCTCGTTGCGGTTGAACAGTGAACTGATTTCTGGTTATTTTTTTCCAGAAACTGTTTCTCTCTAAAGTAAGAAAAAATTAGATCACTTCTATAAAGAAAATACAAAAAAATTTGGCTAGGTAATCTATATAATATTTCTATCAAGAAAAAAGGTCTTCGCTGGGCACGGGACTGTATATATTGAGTTTGTTGACTACAAAATGCAGTTACGTAGTGTATTTGTTAAACCACGAATTATTAGGTGAACAAAAATTAATCCAGCTCAAGGAAATGCATTATCAAAACTCGATAATCCTTCGCTACCTCATGCAAAAAATATCACTCATATCTTATGTTGCAGCTAAATAAAAGGTGATGTAAAAAATTTTTTTAAGGGTGAAGTGAGCTGTGTAACTTATTATGACTGTCTTCTATGTAATTTTTGTAAATGTATTGTAAGTGAGCTGTCAAATGTATCGTGAAGTTCCGACAGTAACAATTCTAAATTTACTCTTTGCAAATTTGATGAAAAAACCCTCTCGATCTTTAGAGGAGTTGGACAGACAATAGATAAGTAAATCAGAGAACTAATCTGTTAAAATTCAGTCGCCTTTGCCAACAACTGGTGCTGCGTTTTGACCAAAATTGGGCGTTTTTTTTCTGACCTGGGAAATTAATCGGAAGTCAGAAAAGATAAAGTAGCTTAGATCCTCACCTGCACTACGTTCCAGCTTTTAGACTGGTAATTTGAGCCAGCCTCTCCCTCGTAATTATTCATGGTTGTATTCAAGAACTCGTTCACATCAGAAGCAGCATAACCAAACACAGCCATCGAGGTCACCAACATTATCACATACCCTGGAACAAACGAGAATATTTTGAAAGTACTCTTTGAAAGCAACAGTCTTATAACAATTCACAACCTCTGCAAAAGGTGTAGCCAACAAAATGTAATGAAAATTTTATCAAATAGAGAACTGGGCTAATGCGGCGAAAAATGAATCTCTATAACCTCAATGAATCCCCCTCCCATCCTATGGTACCTAGTAACGATAATCTCTAACCCCATAAAGATCTAATTTAATAATTTAGTCATCTTAGTGGCAGTATCGAGTGTTTTTAAAGTGATCTTTTCACTCACCTAAGAGCAGTATGAGCAGAACCATTCCGTATATGAAGAGCATGGTCTTGTTGTTCAGAACAGTGCCACCAAGTCCACACAAGGCCACTACCATGCTGGTGGAAAAGAGGGCATAGCTGATACCCTTCGTCACATCCATGCCTGAGAGGAATAGGATCTCAGTTTAGATTTAAGCTTTGCTAAAAAAAGCTGAAAATTCTGAGTTCTTCTTCCCCGAAAAAGCTCCAATGAAACTTCAAAAAAGTCTTCCCCCACTTCATTTCCCCACCCCAAGGTCTCTCTCCCTTGATAACTTCCGTTTTACGCCACTTTCGGTTTAGGCACACATTCATTCAGTTTTGCCAAATTAGAGACTTTTTGACGAGCTGAGGAGCTGAGAAGTTCAAAGCACAAGAAGAACGAGGAAGAAGAACTCGGAATTTTCAGATTTTTTCTACGAGCCTAATTTTAGATGGATCTCATTCCTGTTTTGCTGTCTCCGACTATTCCCATTATGTTGCTGGCGTCATCGGTGGTCGACATGCAAATGAATGCGATAAGCATGATGAGACTGCCAGAGAATAGGACTATGTTGGCAACGATGTTGGAACATCGAGCGCATGATTCGCCGCACGACATTCTTGTTTTGATATGTTGAAGTTAATTTGGAACTGAACTTTCAGAAAACTTGGAGTGTTCAAAACAAATATGAATTTGTAAAATAACTCAACAAAAATCATAATTTTTTTTGCCTGCGGACAAAACAATTAGTCTTCATCTTATTATTCGGAGATTTTAAAACCCTTTTAGATTTTGTACAGGGTTTTCTCGAGGATTTGCAAAATTCTTTAAAAGAGACTTTGAGCCGTCAAAGACAACTGCATCCGAAGGCTCTAAACCTTTTTAAGCGTTTTTTGAAACCAGTTTTTCTGAAACCAAGATTTTTTCTACGAGATTTTTTTCTACGAGGATGTTTTGAACACACTGCAGAAGAATATTCGAATTTTGTTAGGGTTATTGGGACCGATCGAATAACTCGACTTAAGATAGAGTGAAAACAAGTAAAGTTGTGTTTTGAACAACAAATCACAAGCAAGTAGCCCTTTTGTTCCATCAATTATGTAAACACACCATTAGTATTGTGTCTACCGTCTTCTCATTTATATGTTGAGCATAATGCCTTTTGTGTTTGCGAAAGAGTTATTTATGTAGTCCTTTGACAAAAAATTCGTTTTGAATTTATAAAAAACTTCTATTTTATACCGCGTAGAGTTAGCAAAGAATAAAATACAGAAGAGTGGGAAAACTGTTTGATAGTACACAATTCAACTTCCTAATTAAGAAGTTTAGACAAACTTTGACTCCAATTGAACATCTTGAATCTAAATGAACAATTCAAAATTTATTAGTTGAGAAAACAAATTTGCTGATTCTTAAAATTATGGCCTAAAAAACGTTTTCTAATCAATCTCGTAAACTTCACCGAGTTTGTCATTTGGCACAATAGCTTAAGTTCTCAACACTGTCATAAGACAATAATGATATAATAAATACAAGGATATCTTGTTTTTGTGCACGTAGCACATAACGGGATTAATGTACATTTTGAAAAACAATCGAATTTTTCTTAACAAATAGCAAGAAAATTTCAAATAGTTTTTTCAGTTTTTTTCCTCTTCTTTTTTGAAAGAAAGTTTTTTTTGATAACGAGTGATTGACTCTCCTGACAAACTGCAACAATGAGAAATAACAATAGCTTTAAATTGATGTGGTCAGCTCTCATCTAAAATATTCAAACTACTCTTTCCCTACACTCTTGAATTTTGCAAACTTTTATTTTGTAAACAGTAGTTAGCAAAAAATAGAGTACAGAGAATTGGAAAAACTGTGTGTAGTACCCAATTCAATGATCTAATTAAAAAGTGTAGTCAAATTTTCTTTTCAGACTCGTTAATATGATACCACACGTGACCCGTACGAGCTTTCCTACTTAAATTCAAAGTTGTTTTTCTCTCTTTGAGTGTTCGGAACAACAATTACGATATATATTGCATTGAAACCGCGCCTGCCTGATTTTGAAACGTAACATAGATATTTTTAAAAAGCGGACTTCCACTTTGTAATAGCGTGGGACACTAATACTAGGTGCTCTACAATCGCAGAAGTGTTTTGCTGGTGGCATTTCGACTGTACTGTACTGCCCCCTTTTGTCTCTGCTCCTGTGGCTAGCACTTGCACTAACGATCGGTTGCAAACACTCCTATTGTAATTAAATTCAGATAATCATAAGTCGATATACAAAGGTACTGAGTGGCAAGTATAAAATCTAAAATTCTAATCAAAAGGAAAAGGTCTGCAATCACTCAACACAATTGCCAACCTGCAATTCAACTTCCCGTTAACACTAATTAGCTCTCTGCACTATTGCTATCCTCCTGTACTATTGCTATCCTCGATAGCTCAATCAACTATCACTCGCTCTTGAGAAATCGCTAACTTAGAGTATTCATACTCACTTGAGAGAATCATTATTCTCACAAGTGTCCAACTGTTCTCTCTAACTCTGAAAATAAAATGATCGCCCTCAAAGCATGGTTGTTCTCCCTAGGGATAGGCTACTCGCAGCCTTTTCGCTGTGTTTGTTTATTTGAGCTTTAGCTAGAGTTAGAGTTATGGTCGTCCCTACAAGTCCTTCCATTTACTCTGGTATCTCATGCGCAAGTTCCTAAACGGGCTTTTACCGGGCGTCTCTAGTTACGAACCCCAAATTCATCATAGGTATCTCCAACTTAATTGTGCAAATATCAAATTATATTTAATTAGCCAATCCCCCAAGGTTTTTATTTATTTATTGCGTCAACCATCAACCTGCCGGGGGTAGGGAGACCCTGTTCATGGGTACTTTGTTATTTCAAGCATCTAAAACGCGCTATACTCTTTTCCAATCCCAACCCCCTTTTAGCCATTATGGGAACATAATTCTTTTCGTAGGGGTCAATTTGGACCAAAAAACTACATCAGGTAAGCTAAGTAAATGTCTTTTGTATTCATATTATTTAAGAGACCTTAGTCCCATGCTATGCTCCTGCTTCTGCCGTTCTCTCAGGAAAACTTTTTTTAATTCTGATTCAGTTTCTCTATATAGCTCATTTACCCAGCTAACCTGAACCCAATGTTTGCCAAGTCCACATTACTGAATCCACTACTTCAATGTTACCAAGTAAATGCTATACATCTTTCAGCTTCAGCTTTAGTTCCCAATAGATAATTCCCTCCCCTAGTGTCAGGAGACCGATTCCAATTTCAAAGGAATGGAGCCATCAAATGCGCCTCTTTTTGGTGATAATCCCAGGGTTTTCTATGTGTTTTTGGTCCTAAGGGTCAATTAGATGTCATTCCAGGATCACTCAGCGTCAATCTTCCGTGTCCGGGTTCAGAATTCCACAAAAGTCCTACCTAAGAAGTTTCATCCATTTCCCATTCAGAAATCCCAAGTTATCACATTTATTTTTTTTTCGTGGAAGCGCTATTAACCTAGGGAAGAGTCCCCGGAGGGCTCCATTCACTGGAGGCTTTTTTCGGGGTTGGTGTATGTAAATCAACATGCCCACGCTCAATATTTTGCTTAAGTTACCGACTTCCGGTCAGAAGGGTTATTTCCCCAAGTGCTCAAAATTTTCAGGCAACAGTCAGATTTAGTTCACATTTTAAGATAAAACGTATCTTGCCATTAATTTTCATAATCCAGAATTTTGGCTCCATGCGTTCAGTGCGGGCCGAGAAACGACTTGTGGAATTCCGGGATGGGGGACTATTTACATAGGGCATTTATCAGCGCTGTATATTTGAAAGATGATATCTCCTGGTCGTCTAAGGTTGCATGTCCTTTTTAGCAGATACATAAGGATGATTGACATTAAAGTTTTTGAAATCCGTTCACTGTGTTGGCGTTGACGTTAAAGTTCATACGCTATTCTTATACATGGGAATCAGATAAACTATTGGTTTCCTCCTCTGCCGGGATTCTACACGTGCCTCATTGGTGCTTCGAACGGGCTCGGTGGGAAAAACTTTGGGATTCGGCCTTCAACTTGGCGGTGGTGTTTAGATTTTGTTATATTTTTTTCTTAATAGACGTGCAACAGTTGAACTTTCGGAGATCTCGGAGAGTTGTTACCTGCTGGTGGATCGATTCGTTACAGCTCCAGCTCCTATGAAGATAGGGGATTTTGCTACGCGTTATAAAGAACTAAATTTTGGTTTTTCGGAAAGTATCGATAATGATGTTAAAACCTGAACTTTGTCTAAATTTTGATTGTCCTGATTAGTTTACCTTGGAATAATAATCAATCAAGTGGGCCATTGAATAATCGTAGCGTACAAATCTAAACATCTAAAGACTCAAGGTAATGCTATCTGAAACGACATCTTGATTTGTCGAAAAAATAATTTGATATTATTTTTGCATTTGCTCACGAACCAGCTTCGTTTTGAATTTAAAAAAAAGAGGTATGTTATTGTCATCATCAGACATTCTGTACAGTCCTGCATTTAAGTTTTGATAGAATTTAGAAATAAAAATAGCAGGATGCCCTTTATATAAATTAAGATCTGAACCACATCGACATATGTTAAAAAATTGAAAAAATATTGGACAATTTTAAATTTTTTTTGGTGTTAAAAAAAGCAAGTGATTTAGGTGAGAGAAACTGCTTGAGAGAGAGAGAGAGAGAGATGTGAACTTTGATGAAATTTTTAAAAGTTAACTTTAGTAGAACTATTCCGGAACGGATAAAAACAGACCAATCTTTCTCAATACAGCCTCAATTTTTGTGAAGTTTTTCTGAAATCTAAGATTTTTCTCCCTTTTACACTCAATCAAGATCGCTTGCCCCCAGAGCGTTTGAAAAATTGTTTTAAGTATGCATTTACTGGCGGTGAATATATTGCGGTTAGTTGTTTTTCAATGAGAGTTGTCTATTTTTGCGAGTTGTCAACCGAACAAAGCAAGATTTAAAACGGATAATTTTTTTGCACAATTTTTTTAAATTTATTTTTGACACGAGACTTAAATTTAAAAATTTTGATAGCCATTTCTCAATTATAAACTTTGTGTTAATTTTTGAATCGAAAAACATTTTTCTGAAGCCAAAAAAGTGA